GCGCTCCGCTCAGCCAGAGACAGACGCACTCAGTGCTGTCATATATCACAACTATTGAGTGTTTTCAACCACATAATGTTTATTTTAGGTTTCAGACATTTAAATACACATATATACTAGCAAAACAATGATTTTGAGTTTGTAAAATACACACAGATGTCTATGGAAGCGGCAATAATAGTATTTTCAATTATAATAAGACGACACGTTTTATTCATATCAGATACACATTGTGTAAGTAGCTTAACATTTGACCCTATTCTTCTCCCAGTTCATTAGCCACTTACTATCATGTATTTCGTGAGAAGTGGAGGAATTGACGTTGTAAATCCAACAGATCCGATTCTCTGAACTGAAAAAGAATCTAAAATGGCGCCGCCCATTGTGCATACAGCTCAACTAACACGATCGTTATAAAGATGTCTAAACAACAAAACCCATCCACTTGCACATATTTGACAATCGGAATATCAGTGTTTCATGATATAGCTAATACATTTTTGAATATTTTTAATAAAAAAAGAAAAATGACATAAAAGCAGATCATCATTCATTCCGCGCTCTGTTCTGGTTGTGCTGTGTCACGTGACAAGCAATGATGCGTCACCATGGAAACATTTAAGTGGCAAGGTCTAAATAACGGTCGCCTTGAAAAACTCACACTGGGGAGTCAGAATATTTTAAACTTACGTGTGAAAGGGTTAAATTATTCCTATGTGGGGAATTGTTCGCTATCTTTGATATACAGTAAGCTACAGCTTTCTTTCTCTGATATTGTTATCTCTTATAATTATTTTTATTTATTTATTTATTTATTTTTGCATTTGATAATACATAACGCAGATACTTACCATTATGGCTGAGAAATATAGTTACAGTAATGTTGGAGATAATTTTGCTAGTCCAGTTCTTCCTAAAGGGAGGGGTATATGAGGTGCATGGCGGGGTTCTGATAGCAGCGCTGTTGGACATAGGTTGGACAGTGGGGAGGTGGTTGTAACAGAGTTAGAAATGTTTGTATGTGATTTTCACCATAATTAAGCAGCTGTATTGAGTTTGGTGTTTTGGAGCCCTCCTTTGGAGAAACGGTGTACTGCAGCTCTGCTGCGTTTTGTCCTTGTGTTGTTGCCATACCCGATCAGAAGCGGGATGCTTTACATCGGGTAGGTTCACTGTATAAAGCACTCTCACTTTGTTTTAATGATATAACTGTAAAATGTAGTTTAAGTTGCAAACTTCGACGTATGATCTGTGTTATATTATTTTACATGTATTGTTAAGATTTGGGTGCAATTCCAGCAACTTCATACACTCTGAGTCTAGCGTGACTAGCTGTAAACTCCGCTAGCAACTTGCTATACATTCAGTGTATTTCTTTTATTTTTTGTATGTTCAGATGCTGTTATATGTACACCAGTGCCTGAAGGCACGTTTTGTTCTGATTTTCCCAAAGGCATGTTGCTTCATATGTTAAATGTGAATTAGTTTCAGAATGAGGAAATATTTTCCTGTGTTTATTTTTCTTAAGTTTATTTTACACCCTTCTTGTATGCTAAAGGTGTATTCCTCTGTATGAAAGTTTCTTTTGTAATAATTTACCAAAGAGATGAGAAGCGGGATGCTTTACATCGGATACTGTTATATGTACACCAGTGCCTGAAGGCATGTTTTGTTCTGATTTTCCCAAAGATTCTCCAAAGGAATAAATGTGAGAAAAGCCAGTTCTGGTCTCAGTCCCTTCACTGCCTGACCACCGTTACATTTAGAGATTGCCTCACCACAGGAATGCGATAGTGTTCAGCTATCTGCAACAAATCGTCTTTCCTACAAAGCTCAAAAGTGAAAAAAGTTTGATTAGCAATAAATAATTGCAAATCAAAAGTACTCGTCAATATTTCACTTTACTCACTTACTTACTTTCACTCACTTACTTACTTACTTACTTTAACCCGCACAAACAATTCCTTTCCCCAAGCAGTTTTTCACACCATAAAAAAAATAAAAGTTTTTTTTGGGACAAGCCCACAAATAAATTAAGTAAATGTCTATAGCAAGGCACTTGGCAGCACAGGACCGCTGTGGGTAATCCCAGTCACGATGACGGCCGAGATGAAGCGAGGAAACGGCCGTAATCCAGAGGAAGGTAAACAGGAAACTGATGAGCCAGTAGTGGAAGTACCAGGGAAAACGAACAACCAAACGAACTGGAACAGGCAGGAACACGAAGAACAGGAAACGAGCGGGAACACAGGAGCATCCAACTACGATCTGACAAAGACGAGGAGAAAACAGAGGGACTAAATAGCAGGGTTCTCAAGTCTCACGCATTGGCCGTGAGACACACGCATTTCGACCGGTTCACACGCTCACACGCCGCACTGTGTATTTCTCACGCTGAAAAGGCAATGCCAACCAAGTTGTCCTGGCTGAAAGCTTTATAACGTTGTATACGAGGCGCAGGCAAACAAAGTGAAGTTTCCTGCCGCCACCACTGATCTATACAATGACATGTCATTCAGTAGCGCGAACACACGGAAATGGACGGAACATCCTCGTACGTTCGTTACTAGGTAACCAACAACATCGCGCGAACACATGTGTCGTGATGGAGAAGAAGGTAAGTTGGAAGAAGCTCGTCTAACATTTTTGGGCTAGAACATTTAATATATAGCCCATCGTACATTATTATTGATGCAGTCAAAAACTCTACAACTACTTTGCAACCAGGCTCAGTTTGGCTATCTTACGTTATCTGAAACTAAGAGAAATGTTAGTGGGTATGGAAAGGAATGAAGATTTACTGATTTTATTTTAAATTATATTATACTGTAATATTAATAGTCTTTCTAGTTACATTAAGGATGTATTACAGCAGATTGCTCTGGGTAATATTTAATCATTGTCATAATGTTGCATTTGTATTTTTCAAAGATGTCAGGAAAAAACAGAAATATATTTTGTCATTTTGGGCACCAAAGGGTAAAAAGGTTGCCAGATTAGAGGAGGAGACAGTGGAAGAGGTGGTGCACTCTAATCTGTCCATTTGTTCTCAATGTCCCACCACAGAATAAATCATTCGTCTAGAAGACGCATTCAAAAATCAAAACGCAATTTTTAAAGATTTGTTTGAAACTGTTTGGAGCAATTTGTTATATTTTTGGTTAGCTATATTTGTAATACTGCATTAAAGAGTATATTTGATGTGATGAATTGCTCTGTCATTTATCAGATTTACTAATTGTTATAATTTTAATTTGTTCTGGTTAATTATGAACAATGGGTAAAATTGGGGGCGGGGATGGGTGGCTCCTCCCCTAACCGCGTGTGATCTCACTCCAAGCTTTTGCTCAAACTTGAGAACCCTGAAATAGGGTTCGCTGATCCGCTGCAGCTGGCACGCTGATCAAGCACAGCTGGTGACAATCAGCTGCGATGATCCGCGACCCCGCCCAACACACAACATGAGACAAGAAAAGAGTTAGCGAATTCATATAACGTGATAGAATGAGCACAGATTTCTAGTGCATTTACTTGAACTGCTGAGTTAATATCTTTGGTTTCACCCATTTGAGAAACTGAGAGGCGGCGACAATCAGATTTTAAAATGGACTGGATAAAGCGCTTTATGAACGGGACGTGCGATGCCATGCTGACTGACATGTAAGCTATGCACATTAATCATTTTCACACGCACAAGCTCAGAGCAATATTGTAAATTACTGCATGATGACACATTTTTAACTAGCATAATAATAATGCATCACCATACACATAGTCTCACTTTTAGTTACGTCTTTTACCTATTATAGTATTTCGAAGAAACAGGAACTTAAACTATTGAATTTACTTCTTCAATCAGCTGTCACTTCAGTGCGAGGGCAGTAGCATATAGCATTAACACCTCAGCTCAACCCATATCCCGCCTCTTTGCCCATTTTATTTTATCCAGGAATGAAGAGAGGTGACGCACTTCCAAGATGGCGACGGTAACATGTCAGGCATTTTCATAATAATAGATTATATGTATAATGTTATGATAATCAATAGACTTTCTCATCGTTGCATAATACATAAAATATTATATTTTCTGTCTGATTTTTTTTACCTTCTAGAATGTAATGCCGCTCTCTCTTTCATTAAAAAAATGTTTTTATTTTTATTAAAAAAGTCATAATTCATGTCTTATTCCAAATTAGGATGTTAAACTATTAATCTGAATGGGAAAACCATCGAATTGTACTCAATGGCCTTTGTGCCCTGTTATATGGCCTTGGTGCCCCTAAAAAAGAAAAGGTGGAGGCCAAATGGCCTTGCCCCTAAAATTACGTAATTCCCACCCTAGTGTGCACCCAGTTTTACTGACCATGCTGCATGTACTGTATACAACACATGTGTAGCAATTATTAATGCAATAAAATATGCATAATGCAATAACTATGTAATAAGTATTACATTTATTAATGTAAAAAAATGTTCATTATGTTCAATGTAGTGACAGTTGTTCATATAATGTACTAGTTACGCAATGTAATCATAGTTCACAAGGTAATACCAGTACATAATGTACAAGTAAAACAATGTTTACAATGTAATAATTATCTTTCAATATAATACACTTGAGAAAAAATAATTAATTAGGCTTGATTGTGAGCTCAACATTTTCATAACAATTGCACTCACTTTGTGATTAAGACATAATTTTTAATTGCTTTGATCCAGAAACACATTTTTAAGTTGTATGCACTAAATTAAAAAAAATACAGTTTCTGCTTTCTTATTATGTAATTATATAACTTCATTATTCAACATTTACAAATCTTTCTGATAATTTGAGAGAACAAAACTCTATCATAAAATGTACTCTATTCCACTTCTGTCTTGCCCTATGAGGTCAGTGACTATGTTCAAAATCATTCATCCATAATAATTATGTCTATAAAAGTGCAAATACTATATCAGGTCATTGCATTTGTCAGGTGCATTTGAGATCATTCTTTGGGATGCTTTTCTTTCTTTACACACTCCTGGTTATTCATCACCTTCATACTAAGGTGGAAAACACTCTTTGCCGAATGATGGGAGACCCAAAGTACCCTTTGTTTTTCAAGGATGGAGATGTAACTATTGGAGGAATTTTTGCAGTCCACAGAAAAGAAACATTTCCTTCATTTGAGTTTACGCATAAACCTCAACCTCCATCTTGCTCCAGGTTTGTGAAACATTAGAGCAGATAATGTATTTCAATATAAACTGATTAGTAAAAAGAAAAAAAGCTGCATATCTGTAAATTTATATTCAACCGCAAACTACCTATAATGTGTGACACATTATCATATTTGAATATAATCTTCTTTTTTTTTTTTTTACTTTCCACTTTAAATATGTTGCTATTTAATGGTTTAATGTTTCCATAGTGTGAATATGAGAGATTTTCGGCTGGCTCAAACCATGATCTTTGCAATTGAGGAGATTAACAGAAGTCAAAGTTTGCTACCAAATATTTCTATTGGCTACATGATTTATGATACGTGTGGTTCAAGACTGTCTACCATGATTGCAACTTTGGGATTAATGAATGGTCAGGAGTTTGCAGAAGGGTACAAGTGCAATGGGAAGTCTCCTTTACATGCTATCATTGGAGAATCTGAGACTTCTGCCACAGTAATTATTTCCAGAACTACAGGACCTTTTAAGATTCCAGTGGTAAAGAGAAATATCAGTAAATGTTTGACATAATCACCATGCTGATGACTTTTTCACAGTTTATTGTTCTTTTGTTTTCAGATAAGTCACTCTGCTTCATGTGAATGTCTCAGTAATAGGAAGGATTACCCCTCATTCTTCAGGACTATTTCTAGTGATTACCACCAGAGCAGAGCACTTGCATCCATAGTAAAGCATTTAGGCTGGACATGGGTGGGAGCTGTGAACAGTGACAATGACTATGGAAACAACGGAATGGCCATATTCCTAAAAACAGCCCAAGAAGAAGGGATTTGTGTGGAGTACTCTGTGAAATTTTACCGAACAGAGCCTGAAAAACTCAATCAAGTGGTACACACTATAGAAAGAGGCACAGCAAAAGTGATTGTTGCATTTGTTTCTTTTGTTGAGATGGGCTTACTTATTGAGCAGTTAAGTATCCAGAAAATTACAGGCCTCCAGATGATTGGTGTGGAGCCATGGATAACTGCAATGACTTACATAACTCCAAATAGTTTTCACACAATGGGAGGGTCATTAGGGTTTGCAGTCAGAAAAATCGATATTGATGGGTTTGCAGAATATGTTATGAAAGAATTCTGGGACACAGCTTTTCCATGCTCAGAGAGTGATGGGAATTATTCTCAATATGAATCAAGTTGCAGCAGATATGAGGATCTTCTTGCATTGAAAAATTACAATGAAGATGTGACTGAACACAGATATTCAAGTAATGTCTACAAAGCAATTTATGCTGTGGCTCATTCACTACACAGACTATTCAAGTGCAAAGAACAAGAAGGTTGTGAGAAAGGCCTGACAATACAACCACAGCAGGTACACGATAAAAGACTGATACATAGAAAGGGAGAAAATGGGAACAATGTGTTAAAATGCCCAAATTCATTTTTATTTTTTTTATTTTTTTGGCAAGGTGGTTGAGGCTTTGAAAAGGATACATTTTACCATAAAGACAGGAGATCATGTGTGGTTTGACAAAACTGGTGGTGTAGTGGCTTTGTATGAAGTTGTGAATTGGCAGCAGACATCAAATGGATCATTTGAGTTACAATCAGTGGGATATTATGATGCCTCGCTTCCTCCTAACCAGAATTTAGACCTTAGCATTGAAAAAATAATCTGGGCTGGAGGACAGCTGAAGGTAAATTGCAATAACCTGTTTGTCATTGTTTTTGTTTAGTTTAAGGGAATATAATTAAAAAATTTAAAATGAGCAAAGCATTAATCATCAAAAGGAATGACATTAAAATGTTGAGAAATTGTGGTAAATTTCTAAAACACTTTCAAAGTATTGTTTTGTTCCTGAGAAGTATTTATAATAAGACATTATGCAACTTCCCCCTTGTGTGGATTTGTTCTACAAAGATGTAATATTCTCTTTACAATATTACTGAATGATGTAATTGTGGTGAGCAGGACAAGGCTGAGGGCAGTGAGAGAGCGATGCCCTTGGCCACTTCCTGCTCGCCACAGTAATGTATTCCTTTTTACAATGTATTTTTCTATGTAGAAGCCAAGGTCTGTGTGCAGTGAGAGCTGTCATCCAGGCACTAGGAAGGCTGTACAAAAAGGAAGACCTGTCTGCTGTTATGACTGTATTCCATGTGCAGAAGGAGAAATCAGTAATGAGACAGGTAATTTTCAACCCATCTCACAGTTTCATAGAAAATTGGTTAGTTGTTCTTTTTGTTTTCTTTTTTTAATGTTAAGGATTCTGTTTCTAATCAAAGGAATCCAGAAATGATTATTTTGTCTCTAACTAGTGATCACAACTCCCTTTCCAGATTCAATTAACTGCCAGCAGTGTCCAGGGGAATACTGGTCTAATGCTGAGAAAAATACTTGTGTGCTGAAGGCTGTAGAGTTTCTGTCATTCACAGAAGTTATGGGTATATTGTTAGTGTTTTTCTCACTGTTAGGAGTTGGACTAACTGTGCTGGTGGCCATTCTGTTTTACAGCAAGAAGGACACACCAATAGTAAAGGCCAACAATTCAGAGCTGAGCTTCCTGCTACTTTTCTCATTGACTCTGTGTTTCCTCTGTTCACTTACTTTCATTGGTCAGCCCACTGAGTGGTCCTGTATGTTGCGTCACACAGCGTTTGGGATCACTTTTGTCCTCTGCATCTCCTGTATTCTGGGTAAAACAATAGTGGTATTAATGGCCTTCAAGGCTTCACTTCCAGGAAGTAATGTCATGAAATGGTTTGGACCTGCACAACAACGACTCAGTGTTCTTGCTTTTACACTTATACAGGTTCTAATCTGTGTGCTTTGGCTAATAGTTTCTCCCCCATTTCCGTACAAAAATATGAAATATTATAAGGAAAAGATCATACTTGAGTGCAGTCTGGGTTCCACAATAGGTTTCTGGGCTGTGATGGGTTATATTAGCCTCCTGGCAGTCTTGTGTTTCATTTTAGCTTTTCTGGCTCGCACACTGCCTGATAACTTTAATGAAGCCAAATTCATCACATTCAGTATGCTCATATTCTGTGCTGTATGGCTTACATTTATTCCAGCTTATGTCAGTTCTCCTGGAAAATTTACTGTAGCTGTGGAGATATTTGCCATTTTATCATCAAGCTTTGGTTTATTATTCTGCATTTTTGCACCTAAATGTTATATCATACTCCTTAAGCCAGAACAAAATACAAAGCAACATGTGATGGGAAAAACACCATCTAAATCCGTAGACCTAAAACCCTTCTGATAATTTAAAGCAACATTTCTATTAACATGGAAGGGGGACCTCAAGAAAGTGTGTGGGTTTTGGGAGAGGTCAAGCTGAAGTGACTGAAGCAAAACAAAAATGTCTCAGGTCTATAACATTGAACTGTCATATGTAGCAACCTGAAAAACACAAACAAATAACCCTTTAAATAAACCCCAACTGAAAGATGCACCATAATAAGTCTCATTTATATTGTTTATATCTCATTTAAATGTTTCTAAACAAAAGGAAAATGAACAAAACATCATGCAACTAACTGTTGAATGGGGTGTATTTGTTAAATTTGTATTTAATTTTTGCTTAATAAAGTATGATGTAAATAGTAATATATTAATATATCACATATTCATGTAAAATTAGGTAAACCATATTTTAAAAAGGGAAATAGTTAACTGAAAAAAAGTGTTGAATTTAAATGATTTAACGGGGTGGTATAATGCCCTTTTCACAAGATGGAAAATAAGTAGGGGTTAACGATTCATCTACTACATCGATGTATCGATTTATATTCAAATGATCCAACTACATCGATCTGTGCTCTGCTAGTCGATCTAAGATCTGCATATATCGATCTAAAATCGTTTTAAAAGTTGATCAATCGATTGTATCGATACTAGGAAATAACGCATTGAATTTAAGCACATCAGACTTTATATGGCTGTTTTTTTTCATTGAACTTTAGTTTTAATGACACAGGCGTTAAACGTTACTCGATTCAGTCTGCCTATCTGTGACGTTATCGCCACGTACCAGCAGCAGCACAAAGACATAGCATGGCGAATGACAAGGAGAAGCCGACGAGCGAGAAATGACCAGTGTGTGAAAACACATTGGCTTTTGTAAAGACGGAGATGTTCTAAATGAGTCACATGTTGTTTGTAGGACATGTAAAGGTCAATAACAGGAATCTAGGAAACTTTACCTTCACTGCAGTGTTTATTTCGTCGACGAAGATGATGATGAAAATTATTTGCCGACATTTTTTCACGGATGAAAACGAGACGATAACTAAATAAAACCTAGGTTCATTCAAATAAATGTGTCTACTTGAAAGAATAAAAGAATGATGTATGCAAGTATTTATAAAGAATGCATATATCATTCATTGAAAAGAAGACTGTGTTCTACTTTAGGAAAAGTGGTTTTATTTAATTCTAAGCTATTTTTCAAGTCACAGTTGTTAAATCTGTATCTGTATTGCATGTTCAAACTTAAAAATCATTAATATTTCATAGATGGTTCATAGATGTTTTCTCTGGGAATACTGTATATGGGTTTGGAAATTTTAGAGAAATTCTAAATTAACCAGGTTAATAATATTAATAACCTAATAATAAATAAATCATTTCAGGTATTTATTTCAGTCACATTGGTTGAATTTTTGGCAAAAAAATTACTGAAGCGATTTCAAGTCACTGAATTGTTTCGGATCGTATCGTTCTAAATGAACCAACATCGTCCTTGAATCGTATCGACAACCACGAATCGTGATACGAATCGAATCGTTGTTAAAACGAATCGTTACACCCCTAAAAATAAGTCTCTGATGTCCCTAGAATGTGTCCCTAGAATGTGTTTCATTTTTGGGTGAACCATATGTAGCAAGTGGCTCAATTTTAGTGACTACGCCACCCCAGGTTAACGGGGAAAATAACCTCGATATAGCACACAAATACGTTCCACCTAGAAAAGGCAAGAGGCATGGGCTTCCGTACAAAAATTGTTTTATTGACGTTAAAAGTTGATCAACAGTGCTTTAAAAACAGTAGTTCACAGGTCATGATTGACTTAAATACGGTCAAAAAAATAATAAGCAAAAAAAAAAAAAAAATTCACAATAAACCTCACAAGGCTTATAATAAGCTCACCAGATTCTCAATACACTTTTACAAAATTAATAACACACTTGACTTAAACGTCGGAGACTGAGGCTTCAGCACAGGAGCAGGCTAGTATGCCAGCAGCAGGTCCACCATAAGAAACACAGCAACCACTCTTACACCCACCCAATTCACTGCAAATAGCCAACGATAGTGACACGGCAATAATGAAACTGCAATAACATTCTCAGTGAACAAAACCTGCTGTAAAACAGACAACCAGCCCGCTCCAGGAGGGCCTCAGCTCCTAAGGGAAAAGAGAAAAAGAAAATACATAAGAAACTGAAAGTAATAAACAAAAAAACAATATTCAAAGTCAATTTATTGACTTTAAAGTAGCAAGAACAAAAGAAGAAGAAAAAAAAACGCTTACACACACCCCAAAAAGACAAACAATATATGGATACTATTAACGAATTAAAGACAGACAATTCAAATAAAATAAAAAAAACAATTGAAACAATTTCAAATGACCGCTGCAGGAACACACCCAGCAGTTATTCCAGACAGACAGTCACTCAAACTTACATAACTTGAAAACTGATCAACAAAAGAAAACAATAATAAAGAAAATGCCAACTAATAGCAAAAAAAGCAAATAATCCTCAGGCCCGCATACACGCTTGACTTAAACGTATCGATGTGGAGAAAGCAGCAGCGTGGCTTCAAAGAGAGAGAGAGAGAGAGCGTGACGGAGAGGGAGAGCGCACCGTTTAATGCGACTGCTCACTTAATTAGCCCACTTTAGAGTCCACGAAAACCTTCAAAACAGTAAACAAGGAGGATTATAACTAATGAAGTGATCGACCAGTTACCCACCCGATAATGCCACAAAATACTAACCCAGTTTACCTACCAGAGAGTACGATCCAGTTACACGTCAACATATACCAGAGAATCATTTAACAGGCTCGTTGACTGAAACAGCTGGTGCTCCGATCAATTAAATTGCGATGCCACAACGATGGAAGCGCTGAAGGCACATCATACTGGAACAAATTGCCACAATCCAAATCAGGGAGAGAAAAAAAAACTTCCCCCTACGCCCCGGGATGGTACCAAGCCTACCTGGGAGTAAGCAGCAACCCACACGCACAAACCCTCAGCAACGCAGCAGGACACTCAGTCGGTGTTTACAACGGAAGGGGCGGGCTTTCAACCATGACGCACACCAAGATGCCTGAATGAAAGGTTTATATACCCCAAATGGGCAATTACTAATTGGCCACCTACCAAATTGTACTGACGTCACACGACTTCACTACAATCTACCCCCTACTTTTGTGTCGTCGCCCCGACGATAGATACAAAGAGAACATCAGTACCAAGGCCTAAACAACCCAGAACTAATACTAGACACCGTCCCTGAAACAGATACCTCATCCCTTACATTTTCCACTGCTCGCGGAAGATGATGGATGTTAGAATGTTGCCCCGCTGTGGCACGTCTCGTTCGTCGCACAGCCTCAGCACTATCCCTAGACTGGTCTGAGGAAAGAAAGATGGATGTGCCAGGAAGACCCAAATCCACGTCATGCACCAAATTGTTTACAGGAGGCAAGGACTCTACAGAGGGCCCCATGCCTTCCACAGAAGGTGGCACTGGTGCTACTGGAATCATGCAAGGTGCCGGCAGGTCTGACACGGCCGGCAAAGCCTCCTCTACAGCCACCCACAGATCTAAACTGTCGGCGTCCCCTAGTGAGGACGACGGGCTAACTGGGGGGCTAGGAGGGCACTCAACAATTGGGGGGTCTTGCTGTATTCGAGGCTTCATCAGGGAACGGTGAACACGCTTAACTTTTCCCAAATCACCAGCGGGTGCAACAGTATACACAGACCCTCCATCTTTTGGTGCCCGCAGTACTTGATGCAACACCGAGCTCCACAGGTCCTGGATTTTATGACGACCTCTCACGCTATGATCACGGAGATAAACCAGTGTACCCTCCCTCAGTGGTGCATCACGAACATGTTGATCGTGCCGTTTCTTACGGTACTCAGCAGCCGCCTTTAAGCGTTCCCTAGCACCCTCAAATGCCACTTGCATCCTTGCTCGATGCTCTACGATCCACTCATGGACCCCGCCCTCCCCAGGTTCCGAACCCTACCCAAAAGAAAATCAACAGGCAGTCTAGGTTCCTGGCCAAACATCAGGAGATACGGAGACTCACCGGTGGACTGATGGGGGGTGGTATTATAGCAGAACAAGATCTGCGGAAGGCAAGACGCCCAATCCCTTTTCCTAGAAGCTGGCAGAGTGCGAAGGAGGTTATGAAGGGTTCGGTTGAACCGTTCGCACTGGCCATTGCCAGCTGGGTGATAAGGCGTAGTACGGGATTTTTCAATCCCATAAAACCCACAGAGTTGTCTCATAAGGGCCGATTCAAAATTCCGACCCTGGTCGGAATGGATGCGACCTGGGACCCCGAACCGGAAAAACCACTCTGTGACCAAAACTTGTACAACGGTCTCGGCCCGCTGATCTCTGGTCGGAACGGCAAGGGTGTATTTACTGAACACGTCTGTTAACACTAAAACATTCTCATGTCCAGAAGAAGAAGGCTCAAGCATGGTAAAATCAATAGCCAAGATCTCATTTGGCTTAGAGGCTAGGACATGGCCCATAAAACCCCGGCCAAGTGGTTGGGTGTCCTTGGCCAGCTGACATCGCTCGCATTCCCGACACCACTGCGCCACTTCCGCAGACATCCCTGGCCAATAACACCGCTGCCGTATTAATTCTGTAGTGCGTTCAACACCCTGGTGTCCATGGTGCTGGTGCAATTGGGTCAATACATCACGTTTTAACGCTACTGGTAAAACCAACTGTAGCACCTCCTCACCACCATCAGGGCGTGACACACGGCGGTACAATACCCCATTTTTTTTTACGAGACGATCCCCTTGCCGAAGCAAAGTTAACACAGACTTGGAAATATTTTGGCGCTCTGCAGAGCTGGGAAAAGACCCCTGTTCCCAAAACGCCAAAACTCTCTGAATATCAGGATCCGCCTCCTGTAAGGAGCTCAGGTCTTCGATTGAGAAACTGGGCAACGCGGTGATCACTGCCTGATTGACCTGTACTACTGGTTCTGCCTCAGCTGCCTGCCTTACCATTGCTGGAATAACGGTCCCTGGTAAGAAATTCTCACGTGTCTCCTGCGAAAACTGGTGCTGTCTAGAAAGAGCATCCGCATTCCGGTTACTTCGCCCAGAGCGATACCGGACCTCAAAGTCGAAGGAAGCCAACTGGGCAGCCCAACGTTGTTCGGTGGCTC